TATTTTACTTTTTGCAAGTTAAATAACTAGATTCATTCAACCAAAGTCACGGAATCAAAAGATCCCGAAAAAAGAAAGAGAAAAAAGACGGCATAGAGTCCACCCGAGCATATAATCTTACGAAGTACAATAAAAGTGATTGTCGTCCTCATTAAAACTCCACCCCTTCCGTATCCACTGATATTCATGAATTTAGTCCCAAGGCTATAATACACGACCAACCAAAAACTCAACAGTGAGAGAACCAAAGTGCACAAGCACTGATCATACATTATTCTGATCGAGTTCTCGTGTAACAGCTTCCGCATAATATTATAATCTACAGCTCTACAGAACATACAGTATAAATAGTCTTCATACATTTTTTACAAACACACACGCATCTAATTCTCAGATGTTCTTGAAATACTAAGAACTTTCTGTAAGAAACAGACATTGTTGAAGTTGAAATTGCAGAACTTTTTTTTCTTTCCTGGCAAAAACTGCACTGTAGAGCTTCAACTTCGAGCTTCAAATCTCTATGATCTCGGGAAAAGAAGGAAACCGATCTGTATACTATGATTTTACGATCCTTCGGTTGAAAACAGGATAATAATTGTCCAGTTCAAGCTGTTCCAGGATCTGCTGAGTTCTCCATAGATAAGACGAGTGACCCTCGATTACCTCGGTCACGTCAACCTTTCATCGAATGGAGAAGAAGGGACATGAAAAATTCACATAAGTATACATATTTGACAAGGTCCAGCATTCGGCAAAAGGTGCCATTTTATTAATATTATATATTTTGGGACAGCTAAATGAACTAGACTTCATAAAAGTTACAAATACGCGATCAAAATAAATTATACACACAAATTTAGTTCTAACTGATAGTAATTATTGCTAGTTTTTACCTTTTTTTTCTGGTACTTAGATTGAACCCACTATGGGTATCGTTGGAAAGAAAATAAATATAATATAAAAAATATGAAATAAAAGAATTACAGGCAGAAGCTTGAAATAACTTACATTTTCAATGCCCGGGACATCGACAGGTTGAATTCCTGCCAATCCTTGGGTGAGAAGACTGTAAAAACAAAAGGTGCGGCAACATCAGTTAGAAATTTAACAGGAATAGGTAAAAGACATGCAGCATTAGAATCATAGAATAGTTTTCAGCATATTATTAGCATCAGCAAAACTGAAAGCAAAATCCCAAGCCCAAATGTGTGAAGGAATCCCAAAATTCTGAGTCGTAATTGTAAGAGTTGCATACTTAGCACGAAATGCAATTCCAAGCATCCAATCGTTTGTTGAATATGCATTCACATATCTCCCAGCAACCACCTGTGAATAGACGTTGATTAACCCACATTACACTGAGGCATTAATAGCAATAACCATAAAATAATCATAAACGAGATGTTCTATAGCTACCTTTCTTGTTGCTTCCCAATTCATATCTCGAATTGCTAAGGGAGCTCCAAGAAGAACAACTCTTTCCACAAGTCCAGCTGGTTAAATAGATGAATAAAATTGAATAGACAACGAAGAAGAGAGGAATAATATAAAATCATCCAAAATTTTGTGTATTAAATCATAATTTAGAGTCTCCAATTTAAGATTTGCATAAATTGACTATATGGCAAGTATGGCAATGCCAAGGCCATAAAAATGGAAAAAAATTAATGGATATCTGAGTATGCATCAGAATCCAGCAAAGATATAGCTTCGATCACGTTCAATGAATTGATATTAAAATAAAAAGGAAACATAGTTCAAAAAGGAGATGCCACTGTTGCCAGCAGTTCTAACTGGGATTGTACCGCCGTTTTCACTTTCAGCCAAAACCTGGAGGCACCTGAAAATCACTCTTGCTCCAAGTGAGAAACCTACAAGTGTCACAGGCCTGGAAAATAGGTGGAGTGAACATGCACAATTAATCTACAAAATAAAGAACATCCAGGTGGAATTAACTAACACTTTATTTATTTATTTATTTACTTATTTTTTTATTATTTTAAGTTGGTTACCTTTGCCCTTGCAGCCCCTTCAGTAATACTTCGGCGAGCAATTTTCCTGCCTTATCAGACCTACAAATATAGCAGGACTTTTAACGATATATTCTTCTGAACAAGGATCAAAATGGTGGAAGAAGATATATTTAGGACATAGCCACTTACATAGGGCCAATAGGAAGTTGCAGTGGAAAATTATGCCACTGCAACTTGTACATTTAACTTAAATGTGTCTTTTATGTATTACAACTATGGGTTAGTTACAAACATAGTCCAATAAGAAACAATTATCTATCAAAATTGCATGGACCTTTTCTTGATATTTGTTTCTAGTTTATAATTTGTACGCTCGGTAGGGAAGTTTCTTAAGAAAATGACTACTTTAACAGGTGTTCGTAAAAATAGCAGAATTGATAAAGGGAATTTGACATGTGAAATATAGATGCTATTTACTCATTTTGGCTTTTCAATTATATCAAATCTCAGGTTGATTTTTTAAAATTAAACATCAAAAAATATTTTATATTCTCAGTTCAAGCACCCATCTGGCTTTAAAGTATGAAGGAAAACCTATTCACAGCAATTGTCCATTTGCTATCAATGAAATCTGTAAGATAAAGCAATGTAGCCGGCCAAGCCAGTGCTGTCAAAAGAGTGCTTAGCACAGTCATCATGGCACCTTGTTTCATCATCTCCATAGCAATACCTGCACCAACAAGTGATCGATCAAGTTCTAGTCATTGAGCGATCTCCAGGAATATGAAAACCATCGCTTCATGTTCACTGTTCAGCTATACGAAAAAAATTAAAAAAAAAATTAAGAATAATAATTCTTTACTTGAAGTAAGCCAATCTTGAATAGCAGTGCTTACAGCAATTAGATTCCTGGACTCCCACTGAAGAACATACCTAATGAAATAATAAAGCCATTGCAATTTAGAAGGAATATAAACATCATGCAACAAGTACAGGAGAACAATGCAAACAATATCCACAACCAGCATTCCATCAAGACCAAATCCTAAAATAAAATTTGTTACCAAACCGTTACTGGAGTGATATTTTGGTGAAAATGAACAAATATTGGAGAACGAGGTCTACCTTTCAGAGTTATCAGGTTGTCCTTCCCAGGGTTTTATAAAATCT